CATTATTGTAAATTAATTTACTAAACAAACAAGCTGCGAAACTAAAACCTGTTGCCGGATGGGGAAGGATGTCGTTGGATATAGGAACGAATGTCGCCGGAGAGAGTGATTGATGGAGATGGAATGAGTTACGATTTAGGGATTTAGGTTATGAGTTGATGCTGCTACTGCGTAGTTATATACCCAAAACATTTGTGTTGCGAAACTAAAACCTGTTGTGAATTCAGAAATCGAGTTGCGAATTTGAAATTCAGTATTACGATAGTCAGAATCTCGTTGCGATAGTCAGATTCGCGTTGCGATTTACGTAATCGCATTGCGATTTACGTAATCGCATTGCGATTTACGTAATCGCATTGCGATTTTCCAAATTCGCGTTGCGATTTACGTATTCGCATTGCGAATTAGGAAAATCGCAACGCGAATTTGGGAAATCGTAATGCGATAGTCAGAATCGCGTTGCGAATCTGGAAACTGATTTGCGATACCGGAGATCGCGTTGCGAATTATCGATCGCATTGCGATTTAGTTGGTCATTTTGGCAAATCCAAAAAAAGTTGGTTAAAATCGTATATTATAAGGCATTTTTGGTCACTGATGTTATTTTCTCTTAATAAAAATGTCATATTAACAGTTTAATTACTTTTTTAATGATAGAACACTAAATTGAAATATAAGTAAATATTACTTATAATATTTTGAAAATTTAAATGCTAAAGTAATATAAAAATAATAATTTAAATATTAAACACAATAATTTATCTAATAATTTTAATGCGGCAAATACACATCGCGTATAAGTCGAGCTTTGTATCAGACAATCGGATCACGTGTTTACTCCGTAACTCGGGGAAAAAAAACCCTGAACTTTTTCAGATTAACATGGGCGTTTTTGAAAGCCAGATAAGCATATGAATGCGACGATGCGATGGGGAAACGATGAAAAAAGTATTGTTAAAATGGCCCAAATTACTACTTCTTTTGAAAAAGTAGGGCAGGTGGCAATTAATAAGGGAAATGGGTAAGGTATTTTATTTATTTTTTCGGCTTTTAATAAAGATAGTGTAAGTAAATAATATATTTATTTGTTCAATTAATAGTTAAATTCAATTGATTATTAAAATAATACCATTCATTTATTAATTACGAGTATCATGTGAAAACAGTAAAATAAAAGTAATTGCATGTTTTTTAAATTCATAACTTTTTTTTATATATAAACTTAAGGGGATTACAAATTACATTTTGTTTTAAATACTGTCCATCATTTGATAATAAACGCTCAATTATCCTGTTACAATCGTTGATACTCGAACTCGTAATCTCTAAGAATAACGATTCTTTTAACCACTGAAATAAATTGGTTCGTGCTTTTAAATTCATAACTTTATTTCATTTTTTTAGATTTTATTTTTTTAATTCTATAAGATATTTTCCATAATTTTATTATATATATATATATATATTATTTTACATGATTTTTATTCCCAATAATTTGGATAATAATTATCTTTGAATGAAACTTAAAATAATAATAATAATATATTAAATACAATAAATTTGCAATACTATTATCTTTAGATGATGTAATTGAAACTTTTCTAAGCAGTGAGTATCAATGTCACGTGTCATAACCTTATGTGTTCAAATTGGCTACAAGAAACGCGTGAAAGATTTATAAGACTTTATAAATCACTATTTCATTGGCACGTTTAGTTAAATGGCAAAATTCGTCACTAGTAATATTCTATTTTCATTTGTTATTAAAAATGGCATGTCCATCAGGTGAATATCAACAATGTTTTCTTCAAAGGTCACTTATTAACTAATTGGTTTTATCCGGATGATATTTTTAAGTGGAATTGTAAATAAGTAAGAGACGTATTGTGAGTTGTTCGATATTGATTCAGTCAAAACTCAATCAACACTTAAATGAAATGAACTCGACTCGACCTCAACCTCGACTCGAATTTTTAATGAGCCTAATCGAGCTACTTAATACTCGACTTGAAAAGTTCACGAGCAACTTAAAAAATAAAATGTGTTAAATTTTTAATTTTTTATATTAAATTATTAATAATATTAACATTTATATGTTGATGTTTTTATAATACAATATAAGACTTTCATGTACTTAAGATTCAGATTTGAGCTCAACTTTGAGCTTGAATCAAGCTATGTCTAAGAATGTTTCACAGTTCAAGTTTTATTGAGTTCCAAGTCGAGCTTCAATTTTTGATTTTGACTTGAACTTGAAAACTTTAAGATCGTGAGCTTTCGAGTCGAGTCGAACTTTAATTTTTTATTTTAAGTTCAAGTCGAGCTTGACAATTTTAAACTTGCGAATTTTCGAGTCGAGTTCAACTATAAACTTTTAAATTCGAGTTAAAATCAACAATACACAAATTTGACTTAGCTCATTTATATCCCTACTTTAAAGTCTTATGGATTAAAGTAATTCCTTTTTAGACGAGACTCCTAAGATCTAGTGCAATTGATAAGTCTAAAATGTTGCATATTCATACTGTTATTTACTCCTCATTTCCAATTGGATATTACCGATTTACTTTTGTTTTGGCTTGTTTTCGTTTAAGGACTTCATTGGAATTGATCAGCCAAAACCAAGAGTGAAAAGGCATAATTTGTAATTTTTCGTGGTTAAAGCCATGGACACGACTTGGGGCAGGACGTCATTCGAATCCGACACAGCATATTTAAATAGTACAGTTAGCCGCTTCTAAAATGTGGTCCCGCATTATCTTAAAGACAAATTCAAAATTTGATTAAAGATAATTGCTTGTGAGATAATTGGAGGTTATGGAGAATATAAAACAGAATACAAACTGAGCCACTAATTCTAAATAATTATCTTTCTGATAAACCTTTAGATTTAAAATTTAGAATTTTCAATTTGAAAGTTTTTATCTTTATCTTTTATTTAGGATTTTAGTTATTATATCTTGTAAGATTTTCGGGCACAAATATTCTATTATATTCAATATTTGAACTAAAATTAGAATTGCTATTTTTCTTGGTTGTTTGTTTGAAGTTTTGTACTCTTCTTTTATTATTCTTTTTTTCTTAATGTTAAGCATGATTGAATCATGCTTAGTTAAATTTTGCATAGCCTAAAATTTTACGAAGCTCAATTTCAAATCGTGAGAATTGAGTCTTGTTCTTTATAGCTTCGGATCGCATTCTTCAATTCTCTATAAACTAGGAGTGACAAGCAATCATTCTTTCAAAGTTACTACATCTTCATTTCAAAAAGTACGCGTTGGTTTGAAGATTGTTTTGATTTACAATTGGGAAAACAAATTAGTTGGTCGTAATTCAGTTTCCTATGAACAACCTTAGTGGCAATCCGCTAAGTGGTTTCGAGTTTGATTCTTAGTGAGACGTTATAACTTGAGTCAGACTCTTCTAGATCTCTAAATTATTTTAGGGTTTAACGGCGATAGACATGGTTAGACCAGTAACGATTGAATTTTGGAGATACACTTGGAAGTTTCAGTTAACAAGAGTTAGTTGTGAGGTTAGGCTCCATTGACTATAACTGGCGTTTATCTAGAAGTGAAAATCTATTTCGACAATCGATCGAGATTGAGGCCAAACAAAACTTAGGCTATATCATCTCAATTTAATTCCTTTGTTATTTTAATCATTTTCTCATTACTTTATTTTCAATTAAAATCAATGTATCAAAATAATCAGATTAATCAATTCCTTAGTCCTTGTGTATCGACATCTACTTCTCTATTACTTTTATTATTTATTGACTTAACATAAAATTAAGTGCCTAAACTATACACTTTTTCCAAGTTAGGTACCAAAACTATAGCATTTAATACAAAAAAATGTTTAAACTATATTGTTTTTCCCATTTTGGTGCCTAAAGTCTTTTTCGATCAATTCAAGTACCTAATGTTTTCAACGTTACAGTTTTAGGTGTCTGAACCGTTACTGTCATTATATTATGTCGTTAAATGACACGTGTGCCTTTATAAAATTTTAAAAATTGATATTTAAAAAAATTAAAATTATCTAAGTTTGATATGTGTCACTTAGTGACGGAATTTAACGTTGTTAAGGTTAAAACACCTAAAAGTGTAACGTTGAGAACGTTAGGTATATAAATTGATTGAAAAAGACTTTAGACACCAAAATAAAAAAAACAATATAGTTTAAACATTTATTTTTTTATTAAACCTTATTTTTTTGAGATTAAAATAGTTTGATTTAACAAATTTGACGCTGACCACCGACAACACTAGTACAATGAGTGTAGCAACAGACCTTATTTTGCATGCGTGAACGTAACAGATTGATCTTTATTTGTATCAAATAATATATTTTGCATGCGTGAACGTAGTTTTATTATTATCACGATCGCATAAGTTATCATTATAAAATAATTAACAATGGATATTTATAAAAGAAAATATAAATTTGTGGAGAAACATATTTTGACAGACTTAGGTGGATGATGATGAATGTATATACGGATTACAATTTAATCTAAAATTGATGGATTTCAACTTAATTTAATAGTCGACTTTTTTTAAAATAAATATATATAAATTTGAATCGGATCAAGTTCGGGTAGTGGGTGAAAAACCTTCAACTCAATATGACTCGAAGATAATTATATAAATTTTTCATATAATTTATAAATAATTACTACAATACCCCTCTTTCTATAATTTTTTTAATCAAGTCCTTAGGGTTAATTTTCTACTCTATAATTTTGAGTTACATCGGATTCAGATAAAGGAAATGTATTTCTTCAAGTTGGGTCTGATTGAATAAAAATCCGACCCGTTATCATCTTTAGTTGATTTAGGAGGAAAATCAAGCTCAAGAAAACTGTTTCCTGAACAAATAGATAATTGCCTCTTTATATGAATATCACAATAACGGGTGCCTACAGACAATGTCTATGATATAAGATTACTGTTTAAATTAAAAGTACTTATTTAAAATTTATTATAAAATACTAATAATATAAACATCTATTTTCAGCGTTTTAATAGGTTTTAAATAGTGAAACAACAAGCTTCAAACTTAGCCCGAACAGACAAGACGACAACATTGTGAAGGACCAACGAGATTCTTGAAAGAATGGACTACCTACTTCTATGGTACATAAGATAAATCGAAAAGGTATATGTATATATTATGATACCCCAAAGATTCAAGACAGCGTCGACACTTGATCTTTGCTCTCTTCGGAAACGTTTAGCAACAATTCTCGAACACGATTTGCAAGGTTCGACGTCTCCGGGTCTATCGTTAGAGGACGCCGATACAAACTCTGTAAAACTAGAAGCTGGTCATATTTAATCCCATTAAAGGTTACTTCCGTTTTCTGCATTTGCAAGTAAATAAACAAGCAAGTGAAGCATACCTCGGAGGTCCACAAGCAATCACCTGCTTTACGGGGGATTATGTGAATATGTGTCTGAATCATGAATTCATGGAGAAGTGAGATCTCTTTTATTTGCCATGAAACATACAACTACATTTTCTGCCTACTCTCTAGAAACAAGCATTCCACAAAAGCGAAAATGGACTGGTATCTTACATGGAATATAACTTGACCAGCAGCTGCTCCATTGTTAACCAACAAGTTGAACGAATCTGCGCATTGGTTAATTTACGCAATATGATTCATGACATCGACATCAATTCTGCCTACTCTAGACGCAAGCACTTAATTATCATAGTGGTGAAATTTATATAAGTCAATCATCCATATTTCCAAAATAACTTTTATGACGAATGAATCAGGATGAACAAACATATGCAGATCAGTTGTTTTCTTTAGTGGATTCAGCCAGAGTTAATCTTCTAACCATGTATTATAGATATAATATTTAAGGAATGGCTTTGAAAAATCACAATTCACTAGCCACAGATTTCAAGCGGTTTGATGGCAAATTTAACATGTATTAATATATGTACTCTAACAACTTCAAAGAAGACTGAGATGTGTAGATCATAACTGCAATAAACACACTACAGCACATACCCGAATCAGTAGCTTTCATGATTGCATTGCCAAGAAAAGGCACTTTTGAACACATCGCAGCTACCACCTGAATGGTATCGAAAGACAAATAAAAGTGACTCAAGAAAATGATTTGCTAAAACAAAATTCTTAAATTTGCAAACTCTGATACTTAAATCCACAACTTTTATATAAATGAAGTGTATTTAAATACATATACACAGACCACACAAATGTATGCATGATAAACACTTCTTTTGCATGGACCTGGCACAAAAGCCAAACTAAAAGATCTTAACTTTTACAACTTAATGCAGCTTGGGTTAACTTGGATGCTAGTGTGACAACAAATAAATCCACCTTGTAAATGCAGCTTCGGGTTAAGCCAAACGAACAGTTCATTGCTTAGTTTTCTCGAACATTTCTTTTAACCCCACATCACATTTTAACACTAATCTATTCTCACCCCAAAGTACACAAGTTTCTAAACAATCAAAATTTATATGCAAAACGTTCAGTAATAATGAAAAGTGATCACAACTGCTTGAGGAAACAACAACTAGGTCTACCAAACTTACAGAAGGTGGTGTTGTGTCCAACGAAGAAAAATGAGACTTTGGGACAATAAGAGAGTGCCTAGGAAACAACAATAAAGTTCAACATGCTATGATTAGCTCAACATACCAAAAAAAAGCTCATAATGTAAATATCATCATAGGGCGATAATAATTAAAAAGCAATGTCACATGATAGTTTTTCAAATAAGTTCAAATTAGCCTAATCCCCATATATAGACCATGGTTTTTGTTTTTCCTTGGTATTCAATTTCATATCGAGGTCAAATGTAGACTTCTTAGAAAGTGAAAACAGCACCCACCTTCCTACCCCAACTACACATGCCCTTGATTCTTATTTTTCAACAACCAACACTATTTTATCAAATAGGCAATTATCAGTCGGATTAATTTAACTTCGAATAGGGATGAGTATTTCATCAAGTCGAGTCAAAATACTTCGAGCCAGTTGAGCGGACAAGTCCTATTTTACAACTCAAAACTTTATTTGAAATTTGTTCGGGTATGTTGAGTTTTGCTCACCCCTAACTTGGAAGCTACAACTTCCATATCAGCCCACCTATATAGAAAACTAAGCCTCATAAGATGAGCTGATCGAACTAGTTCAGACCAAAGCTCAGAATTTACCATATCATTGTTCTTCAGTAATTTTACATTTCAGCCCATAACATAAACTATAAAACTTAGTTTGGAGATGGTAAAAATAGAATATTTTTGGAATAACTAGAGGAAAGATGATACCTTACCCACGACTCAAAGGTCTGGTATCCAATATACACAAGCACATATCATCCTCGTACAGCTGATTAAACTCGACACGAATAAGAAACCCAAAATTAAACCATGAATTTAGAGAATTAAGCTAAAAAGAAAGTAAATCCAGAAGAAAAAGCAAGTGAGAGCCGCGTTTGGGTACCTTGAAAGCCGGGGATTCGCCGCGAATAATTAGACAGAAAACGCAGTCGTTCATCAGGGAAGCGCAAGCGGAAGTAGAAAGGATTGAGGAAAGGGGCGGAAGAGGGGCCGAACGGGAGGGGAAAAGATGGGAATAGAGAACGGCCAATCTCCGAGCCTCCATATGAGAGTTGGCTTTTGACTATGGCGTCCGGTTTTGCTTTGTTTAAAGTATAAGTAGAAGAGGTCTGGTGTGGAAGGAGTGATTATTGAGGTGGCTGGTGGTGATTGGGTTGGCTTATCCGCATCCACAACCAGCCACGTGGTACTTTTTTTTGTCTCATTCTTCTCTACTAAATCCCTTTAACAATACTCCATAATTTATCCCCCCCCCCCAAAAAAAAACTGAAATTTTCTGGACTTGCGCTTCACGTGTAACAAAAACAGATTATCTCATTCTTCAGGTTCCTGAGAATCATCACCAACCCTATCCTGCCTACTCAAAACTCGAATCACCGCGCTCTACTCGCCATTCGATTTCAGTATTTTTTTAAATTGATTTCATACTTTGTTATGTTTGGTTGCCGGGAAAACGTGGGAATGGAAAAGAAATGAAATGAAAAGAAAATGGTTTGCTTGTTAAAGCTCGGTGCACCTTACCTGTAAAAGATAATCAGAATCTATTGTAGAACTTAGACTTGAGATTTTAGAGCATTAATTACTAGATTTTTAAATTTATCATTCTATTCATATTTTTTCTTTTTAAATTTATTCAAGTTTTACGTTTCTGTCTATATATAGAGATTTTTTATTTGCAGGGATTACTTCCTATTACAGACGCGCATCTAAAGATTGCATAAAAAGACTGTTCAACTATGTATTTATTTATTTATACATGTATTACGTTTTATATTTATTTTTATTTTTTTTTGACTGTCGACTTTTACGAAAGTTGTTCTCAACCTGAAGTTAGGTAACCTACTACCCTACCTCCTTCTTACCTCAATATATATGAAAATAAAATTTTGTTATTGTTATTGTAGTAGTTATAACGTGTTTATAGTTTTGCAGTAAAAATAATGGTATAAAGCTATAAAAATACTCTTAAATAATTATTTTAATTATTATTTTTTAAAATATTTAAACATTTCATTTTAAAATAAAAGTACTCCTGACGTTTTATTTTAATCAACATTCATTAATAAATTTTAACAGGATTTTTGCTCATTTCTCAAGGTTTTATGTCAAACTAATTAATACGCATTAAAAGTATTTTGATAATTTCAATTTTGATCATTTTATACATGTGAGACTATTTTGATAATTTTATACTTATAATGATGTTTTGGAGACTGAGATTAGGGGTGATTAATGAGTTGACCAGTTTGTGAGTAGTTCGAATTCAATTCAGTCAAAATTTCATAAAAGTTTGATTTGGGTTGACTCATCTCAAGACATTAATGAGTTAAATCGAGTAAAGTCCAATTCTACTTGATAAATTCATGAGCAATTCATTAATTTTTTATAACTTTTTAGCATTTATTTTAAAAAATTATTTCATTAAAAAATTAATAATTTACTAATAAACAATAAAAAAGATGATAAATTACTATTAATTTTTTAATAAATAAATAAAAATACTAAATCATTAATTATAATTATTATTTTACTACACCCAAAATCAAATCGTAATTATTATTTTAATGTATTTATGATTGTTATTTTGGTGTCCAGACTTTGAATTTGGTTCTTACACTCTTTTTGATTTTTTTAGTTAAATTTGTTAATTTATGTTTATATTAAATTATATATAGTATTAATAGTTAAAAAATTAAAATAAAAAAATCCGCGAGCTTAACTAGCAATGAGGCAAGCAATGAGCTTAACAAACAACAAGTCGAGCAATAAATTTTCTTAACGAGCGCGAGTCGAGTAAAATTTTAACGAGTTTAACGAACAACGAGTGGAGTTGAGAAATAAATTTTTTTTATGATCATAAGTTGAGCACTACCCAACTCGCGACCACTAGCTATATAAGCACCCCTAATTGAGACAACATTTTTTTATTAATTTGAGGTAAGTAAAGACAATATTTGTTTAAAGATAACTCTCAACCATTTGACCAGATATTCAAATAGTGGACTGAAAATGCTATCGCGGGTGCTATTTAGCGGTAGCGCCGCCGTTCGAAACCAAGATTGACGAAATTAGCAGTGAGTAGGGGATTCACACCAATAGCAGTCTGTCGCGCCCGCAATTTAACGGGTAACGGTGAATAATACTGATAACGGGACGCTATTACCATTATTGATCGCTACAGTAAAAAAATATTGTATACGTCCATTGAGCTTCGCCGTCGGTGAAGGAGTTGAGCAGTAACACTGCCGGTGAAGAAAGTAAAAATAAAAAAAATATAAGTTAGATTTAATTTTGTAGAAAACGAACCTGAAAGATTAGTTTTTTTTTAGAAAGATAAGTCAAAATGAAAGTTCTTGGAGCCTTCTTATCTCATAAAAGTTTAGAGTTTTGTGGGTGGGTTGTGTAACACTCTATTTTTTTTCTATATATATATATTTTTTAAATATAATTTTAAAGGAGATATTAATTTGACATCCCTTCCAAGTCCCACCTTTTAGAATTTCTAATTCAATATTTAATTTAAAATATAAATTTTATTTTTTTATTTAATTTAGTCTTAATTTTAGTAATTTAAAATTCTGTAATTTAAAGTTTACACTTTTATTTTAATTATATTTAATTTAATTATTTTGTGTTATTTAAATTTGACTCTTTTATTTTAATTATATTTAATTGTGGCTTAAAGAAAGTTGTATGAAGTTATTATGTTTTAGGATAAGTTATGTGAAATTTTTAAAAAAATTATGACCGCGACCCCCGTAGTGACCACGATGGCATCTGTTATGTCCGCAATCAGGATAATTGTAACGCGACCGAAAACGCAACTGTGAACGCTATTTAAATCCTTGCATTTGACATTGAACACTCATACCCCTGGCATTCCTGGTGCTCAAACCCATGACTTCAAGAAATAACAACAATTCTTTTACCACCGAGGTCATTTGGTTCGTGATCGATTCGGACATCAATTTGGGCCTATAGGTGTCATTTTAGGAGTGTTGGAGGACCAAATTAGGTTTAAAAGTGTCTTTTAGATCATTTAGGCCCAAATTAACTCGAATTATCCCAAACATAGTTTTGCTTTTGAAATAAGAAGTGAAGTTTCGAAACCTTTATGGAAATTCAAAATTTTTAGATTGATTTTAAAACCAGATATGGTTCTGGAATAGAAGTGTCGAAAGTGGTGCTCCTAATTTTTGAAATCCAATATCGACAATTCACAATTGGGTCCAAAATTGACCTAAATCATCCTAAACTTTATCTCCAAACCCCTAAATCCTTCCATACATCAAGGAGAAATATTGGAAGCTTTAAAAGTTTATTTACCAAATCCAACCAAATTTCACCATTGAAGGAACATCTTGAATAGGGATGGCAAACGGGTACAATTTTGTGGATTTCACACTGTACCTACTCCAATTGGGGCGGGGATGGGTATAACTTTAGTGGGTAGTGGGCGGGTATGGATTTAGAAAGTGGTACCCGTCGCGGGTAGTGGACGGGTGATGGGTTTGAGACCTTACTCGTCCCGCTTGCGCCCGCCCACTAAATACCCATTAAATTTTGGATCATTACGAATTTAGGTATAATTTTAAAGACTAATTTATAAATCTTAATATTGTATAAGATATAACTTATAATTTAACCAAATATTAGGTATAATTTTAGAGACTAATATTATTCTTCTTAATGGACGTGTTTGTTTTATGTTTGTTGCTTATGTATAACTTAAGGTTCTTATCGTGCGGGTCTAGCGGGATACGTCTCCAGTTGGGTAGTGGGTGTGGGGATAGATTTGAGAATGTACCTGCGTGGGCGGGTGTGGATTTGAAAAATTTTACCCATCATAGGTGGTGGGCTAGTGGTGGATTTGAAAATTTTAAGTGGGTATGGGGATAGGGGAGGGGGTATCCGCACCCGACCTTCCCATTTGCCATCCCTAATCTTGAACACACTAAATGGCATAGCATGCATATATAAGTCACCCAAACATTTCATCCCTTGAATCATGATCCACACAAAGAACAAGGAGTGTATCACCTCAAAATTTGTAGTAAAATAAGTCTCCTCTAGAGCCCCATCACTTCTCTAGTGTACCTTTTCTAAAACCTCTTTAAACTTGGATTTACTCATGACACTATTTTTAGAGCTTTTGATCTCATTAGGATTGCCAAGGAAAAGGGAAGAAGAAATTACCTCGATGTGTTTGGTTGAGTGGAAAGATATAGAAAGTTTAAATCTATGTACAAAGCTTAGAGATTGGCAATAAAGGTGGAAATAAGATGGGGGAGGAAGAAGTGAAATGAGACGAGGAGAAAAGAGGGATGCAATGGATTTGAGTGAGCAGCTCTTGCCCCAATCCCACGCTTAAAACAAAATGGAAGGTGATTATTTTCACAAGGATTTATTCATCTCTCCACTTGACTCATGTTGCACTACCTCCGACGAACATATTTACAAAATGTTCTCGAAACAATACTTTTAAACGAAAAATATTAAACACTCAAAAAAATTTCAGAAGAAAAATCACGAAGATCTAAATCTTAAAAAAATTAGTGACAAATACATCAACAACAATTTGACATTTAAAAGGATCAAAACTTTAACGCCTATTTAGGTAGTTTAATGTGTCACACCCGAAAATACATGATCTTTATTAAGTATTAATTTAGTCAACTTAGGGACTAATCAGTTTTGAACTTGTTGGAAGTTTAGGGACTTAATCTTGAATTGTCCCATTTTTCTAGTCAGTAGAAAATTTTAAAATGGGAAAATGTATTGTTTAGTGGTGTTGAACCCCTACCCCCTGTACAACCAACCATACCCCTACCGATCAAGCTAGGCTACCATTTTGATATAAAATAATAATAATTTCTTTTAGATTGAATAAAATGGGATAACCCATTTCCCATAACTAGAAACCCCCAGCGTGAACCAAACCCCAAAATCAACCCTTAACTTACCCAATTCCAAGCCATTCTCGTCGCCCATTTCTGTTCAGCCTACTCCAATTAGCAGTGGAGTACATTTCCATCACCATCAAACTCGGAAACAATCGACGA